GATTTGTCTACGTAGTCAGACTAGTAGATAGTCTGACAGGTATTAGATCGGTTATATACTCACTTACCCCTATTATTATAATTATTGTTGTCGCTTATTGGCGTGGAAATACACTCTGGTGTTCTTGATCCGAATCGTGTTGGTGTCCTGTAGAATAGACACTAGGAGGGTATCTAGTGTGGATATTCGTCTAGGGCAAATTAGTGTACTATCGGCGTAAGGGAGAAAACCTAATCTTATTTCAAAATCACTTACCATTGAAGAAACGTTTATAAATTGACTCCTGTTTCAAGTTGATTCTATTGTTCGAATTGATCAGTGAATATTTCGTATTTAAATCTACCAGCACAAATAAATCAATTTCCTTATATCTTCTCTGTAGAGATGAGACAATCATAAAATTACAGCTTAACCCAGTGGCTATTTTACATTACTTAATCAAGAACGTAAAATACTAAAACCGTGTGCAGTTAGCCACAATTACAAACCGTTTCATGATTATTATTATCCAATGTAATTTGATTACCAAACATCGAAGTAATTGATATTGCCTAAAATAACTCTTTCTCATACATTATGAGCAGGGATAGACGGTGGCTAGTAGTGAAGTCCAGGACGCGCGTTTCATCGTGTTTGAAACTCATCACCTGGATGTACCTGCATCACAAAGTTGATTCTCATTGCAGGACCCGAACCCACTACTGTTCGCTTCAAAGCCGTTGCGTTATCCACTTAGGAACTGAGTTTAAACAGCTACTAGTTTGTGCAATCGTAGTCCTAAACATCACTGGGAAGATTCGAACAAGCAATACAAAATGAATTTTCGCCATCCACTTTCCTTAGCAAATGAATTACTATCAATGGACTAAATACGTTTTCCTCATGTGATTATAGTAAGGTAAGAAAAACAAGTGAATACCTGGTATTATCATAATTTTAACAATTTCTTTCTTCAATTACATATTTACGCTAAAATAATTTTTCAAACAATGAAACAATATTACAGAAGTAGAAACTCAAGGTTGAATAGGTCCCGTAACAATCAACTGGGTTTTGCAATGGTATGGAAATGAAAAATTTGAAAAAGATTTCGCAAAGCTCAAAACTGACTGATTTTATTTAGACAACTATGGAGAACGAGGAAGCACTAGACAACTGTTTTATGGCAATATTAATAGGTACACCTCAGTGACAGTCCTCGTCCGCAAACTACCTGGTTATTTTGTGACGTAAACTTCACGACTCAATAACTTACACAAACACATTAATAATGATCACGAATCCAGTATTTACTAATTTTCAAAGGTAATTCAAAGGGTTCTAGTGAAAAATTGTGGCCAGTGGAGTTCAACCGTATCTTGTGTAAGGCAGTTACCTAACAATGATCCTGAGAGATGGTTGAGTAACATCATGGATTAATTGAAGTTGCAGTTGTGAACCAGTGGATGCCAAATCAATAGTTTCAAGGTTAAAGGCTGTCCAAGAAACCTGAAAGCCCTGAGTTCAGTCTATAATATGGTCATGGATGCACACTGTCATTGATAGGTTTCATACGACAAATAAATAGCAGTGGACTATTTTTTCTTATCAGTGGGTGCTCAATTAGGATCAATTCGTGATGTAAACTACAACATTCAACAATCTTTACAAAACTATTGCACTAACCAAAAGCTTTTCTCCTAAAAAAAAGACACAAAAACCAAGGATAGAAAGGGAAACAGTAGAAAGGCAATTGATGGACAATATCTAAGACTATTTACAATGCATAAAAATCAACATAATACTATAAATTCCAATTACTGTGACCGATTTTACTTTGCATCAGTCAGGATCTTCCACCATCAACATTTTTTATCGATTTAAACCCGAGGAAGTAAACACTGAAAGAAATTGGTATTCAAGTATTTTTTACTAAACATCTTTTTGTTCAGAATCATGGTTTGTATAAACAATAGTTACTCTTTTAGGTTAAAACTGAACTCATGTTATCAGTTGGCCTTCACTAACCGTGGTAATAAAATTGCATTTCAGTGCAAATATACTAACTTATTTAACATTGTTTAACCGTCCTAATAAAGGTGATTTTCATCTATATTGTCTACATTGGACAAATTATAATACTCGTTTTTTTCATTTAAAATAATATTAACAATGGTTACATGTGCTATAAAAAAACTCAGCTTTCAGCATGTACTGTGGTGTTGTTTCTTTTGGACAATTTCAAAATCAGCTGTTGTTGTGCCAAAGTTTTTATATTAGGAGTTTTTAACCCCTTTTTTATATTTCTTATTAACTCGTTCAAATTTCATTGAGCATATTTCACACCATACTTTAAAATAAACATTGTGAAAACATTTTTATATTTAATCACTCAGCCACTTCCTCAGAATGAATTTAATGAATCCTTTAGTTAATTCTATATAGTTAGTAGCCCCTATGAATTTGAATAAAGTTGGAACAAAAACTATAACAAAATAATATGAATTAATTTTGTTGAATGGTTTCTGTTCAATGGTTATTAGTAATAATATATATATAAGCTTATATGAAGTCGTCTGAAGATGGAGTCCGGAAATTGATAGGATGGACTATGAGAGTCGTAGAAGATTTGAAGTGTTTGTGTAAGTTTAAGACCACTTAGGAATAGATATAAGAAACACAGAGCTATGAGATGATAATTACTTAGAATTTGAAATTGATTTTATGAATTGAGTAATAATCAATATTCAACACTTCCTTTTAAACTGAGTGAACTAAAGAATGAGGAAATTGATTACGTTCGTTTTGTACAAGATCCAGTGTTAGAAAATATCGCATTCAATTATCAAGACGTATCTGATGAATAAATTAACCTAAATTTCTAAAGTGAACTGATCATCAGTCTACTTCATATACGCATATAGAACCCAATTAAGAATGATAAGGTGTAAATAATGACGTTAGTATATATTGGGTTTTGTTTCCTTGCAAGAGAAACTTTTACATAGATTTATATGTCAATATAGTTATCATAAACTATAAAGCCTCAATATACGACACACTGCTGACCAAGTTATACGGCCAATATGTGATTAAAGGAATCCTCCCCCGCAGCTTTAATTTCTAATTTATTAGATACAACAACCCCTTATCTGCTTCCTAGCCTAGGTTAGTCTAAATGACAAAGATTGATCAAACCACCAATTGTATACATCACAGATTGATGTAGGTAAGCAGCAAGTGTGTATGACTAATTTATAATATTCTTAAACAATGACGTTGAAACGCACTGTGCAAATGATAACTTGTGATACCACCTGGCTGTCCAAACTGGAGAAATGGAGCAACTTCTAGACCTGGCAGATCCAGGTCAAAAGTCAGTTGTTTGTATCACCAAACCAAAGTTCCATGAAGCTTGTGGTATAGGGAAACTGAGAAGATATGTATTGTTAGTAAACACCTATTGAAGATACTGCTTACATAAAGTAATATAAGGTCATATTACTGAAATAATTGTCAATCTAACTGTTTAAATATATGACTCTATTTGTTGGTTTTATTATAGACTACTTTGCTATACTTACAACCGATGAGGTTAAAACTTTATCCATTCTAATTAGGGCCCATTTTATCATGAGAAAGCCCGTCTTGAGAAAACCCAGATAACCTTCACTAGTCGTCAAAGAGCTATTACCTATCGTGACCGATAGGCCTAAGCTTTCAACTTATCACCTTAAACTTGGTTCATCTAACTAAATTCAAATGCACAACTAATATTATCATTACATTACTAAAGGTCGATTTAATTCTAGGCTCCGAACAAATTATATTGATTACATCAGAATAAGTTAAGGATATGCAACCCTGAAAATTTATGAATTTAGACTGAACAGCTAATTCATGTAATTCATGATTTTCAATGTCCCTTCAAAACTTCAATTCATAACGATAACAAGATAAAGTATATTAGGCGAAGACAGAAACAATTCATCATTTCTAAAGAGTAAATACAGTTTTTAGAGCAATCATTTTGAGAATAGGTATGACGTTTTCATTATCGTGAAAGCTTAAAGTTGGTAAAATATACTATTTTCTATCTCACTCGTCCCCATGAGATTGAAAAAACCTCATATTCATTCCTCACTAGTGAGGATATTTGGTTCCAGATCATAGTTATTTACTATTCAATATTCTATATAGAACAGTCATTTAGATAAATTGTCCATGAATTAAGGATTATCGAATAACAAGATGACGATGAGTGACGATAGGAAAATCTATTATGTGGCACAGTAAAATAATGTTGTTTGGTTCTAAGAAAAATCAGTGTGATCTTTTGAGGGTGTGAACTTGGATCCAGCTGAATGAAATGTTACATAGGCTAAAATATCATCATGTGACTAAACTCATAGCCAAATAAATATGTGATATTGATGTTTTTTACATTACTAGAGTGGTTAATATTCCTGGATCTTCACTATCATAAACATGACAAAAAAGACGAGAGTGGGCGCCATTCAAAAATGCGTGACAAATACCATATTTATGAATGATTAACAGAAATACTGATATCACAACATATCATGTCAAAACATCCCTCTTCTGTAACGCAGAACTTATTAGTCGAAAATGATAAAAAGCGAATTCAGACTCAGTAAAATCTAAGTACCGATTTCGATCTTTGTAAGTCAATATAAATGATAGTCCATTAACAGTACCTAAATCGACTATCGACACATAAAATTAACATCGCTTATAACATTAATTTCATCAATACACGACATTATTTAGGTGACCAATCAAAAACGTTCCCAACCTTCGAATGATATGTATCACCATTACGCCTAAATATCGACTGTTTATATGTTTACTTGAGAAGCAGTCTAGTATCTGTGACCAAAAAGATGGTTTTCACTGTTTTGTGAGGAACTCTGACATCATTCTGTAATTTTATTTAATAAAGTCTGAACTAACCTTGTGAGTCGAGAAAACCTCCCGAGTTCATACTTAGATATAACAACTTTTTAGTTACTTATATACGTTTAATGTGAAACACTGTATATGTAAATATATAAAATCCTTTACTGTTTAGACATGAAATATTAATAACGTATATGAACCAAGTGAAATATAGACTCAGTGAATTTGCAATTTATTTAACAAAGCAGCTATTCATCTTAGTTGAACGAACAGACATCAATATTAGCAAGAATGGTCTTACAGCTGGATTTTACACAAATATAAATTAAAATTGGTATACCATATGATATAATGACGAGAATTGCCACATGATTTATTCAAGAGACTAAATTAGAAGTGACCAATAAATTCGTTCATACGTTATAAAGTGAGTGTAAAGAGTATTTCTGAGGTTACGTTTTCAAAGTAAACATAAAGTGGCCACTGATATTCTATGTTACTGAGCAGCTTCACGTTCAGAAGTCCATAACTGAAAAAGTTTTGTTATTGTAAATTAGCAACTTACAGTTAAGTTATCACGAAGAAGTTGCATTACAAGTGTACTGTCTTTGAAGGAACCACTTTCAGGTTGGTCCAACTGTCCGATTGATTCATTAAATGCAGTCTGAGCAATTGAGCATGCTTTTTCGGGATTGTTTTCGATTTCATAATAAAACACAGAGAAGTTTAGAGCTAAGCCCAGACGGATTGGATGAGTTGGAGGTAGGTCACTATTTGCCTTCTCCGTTGCTGCCTGATAAGCTTCCCTTGAGTGTTTTACAACATCAGCACGTTTGTCGTCAGTTAGAACCTCAGCTAAATACCTGTAATAATCACCTTCCATTTTCTTATAAAACACGATTCCTTCAGCTGTATTTTCACTTTTGAGTAGTGACTCGTGTAATAAATCCTAATAAGGAAATGTGGTCAGGAAGACTTAGAAATCTTACTAAGACTTCCTGGCAGACAGCTTGTAATTCCTTCTCAATAGTTTTACGGTATTCTCCCGCTTGTTTTTTCTTCTGGTCATCCAATCGCTGTTCAATGTTTGAAACAACACGCCAAGCTGATCTACAACATCCAACTACATTTTTATAAGCCACTGAAAACAAGTTTCGCTCCTCATTATTCAGTGTTTTTGATGTCTCGACAACTTTCTTCATAGCACACGCCATATCATTAAATCGCTCAGCTTGCTCCTGAATCTTAGCCAACGTAATCAGAGAATCTCTATCCTTGATATTAGATTCATTAATCCAAGAGTCATCACACATTGCTAATATGACGAAAGCGCAGTGAATAAAACGCTACATTAATCGTCGGACAATTAGAAACGAAAGTAAAATAGTGAGTAATTTAGTTCAATTAAACGAAAATCGGAGAAAAGCATACTCTGATAAAAACAACGGCGAGACTGGAATTTAGGGACGAGCCAATCAGAAGCGTTTGAGCAATTTCAATTATTAGCCAATCAGAAGACAGTATGAAGTAAAAATATATTATAAGAAAGTAATGAATTACAGTGGATATTCTTCTTCTACATGATTTAAAAACTTGTTAAGGTATGATTAAGGTTCAGAAGTTCTGAATTCATAATGCGTACGGTATAGAAACTCATCCATAGGGTTAGGGTTAAGGGTTAGGGGCTAGTGTCGAAGCCAAGGGTTAGGGTGGGGGCTTAGGGTTAGGGTAAGGGTTAGGGTTGTAGCCTCTTAATAGACACCTCTTCTCTAAAATCCGTTGTAACCCGATCGTATGTTACCATCCTAACCCTAACCTTAACCCTAAACCCTAACCCTCACCTAACCCTAACCCTAACCTAACCCTAACCTTAACCCTAAACCCTAACCTAACCCAAACCTTAACCCTAAACCTAACCCTAGCCCTATGAACGAGTTTCTATACCATATGCATTATGAATTTAGAACTTCTGAACCTTAATCAAACCTTAACAAGTTTTTAAATCATGTGAAAGAAGAATATCCACTGTAATTCATTACTTTCATATAATATATTTTCACCTTATACTAACTGTATTCTGGTTGGCTCATAATTGTCAAGGTCATTTACGATTCGTTCAAAGGTCGTCCCTGAATTAGAGTCTCGCCAAAACAACTTCAAGTGAAAAAGAAGCATTTAGCTACCAATAGGATACCACGTTTTAGCTTGCAAACACAAAGGCAGTGATTTTGTACTGTAGAATGAATGTTCGTAATGTAAAACTCCTTTAGAAAAGAAAATATGTAGACTTAAATTGTCCTACTGAAACCATATCAACCAATTATATAGTTCTGATTTTCCAATTTATTGGTTGATAAGTGGAATCTCTTACCAAAACAAGTAGTATCGGTCAGCTCAGTAAATGCCTTCAAAAAATCGGATCCAAACAAAGTTACTCACTAGGAAGATTGACTCATGTCATGACGTAATACAAGAACTTGATTGAAGATCCTAGTGGCTATAAACAAAGGTGTTAATTTTAACAACGACAATCAGAAATTTAATATATGACAGTTGTCTAACGCGGGAACAGTTCAGCTTGATAGACAATCTAGTTAGGGCTCACTAATATTTCATTGACCTTATAAATGATATCTAGGATATGAAAAATTTCACAACCACGAGGACCTAAAAGTGAGAACAAGTTCCAGGAATGATACAACCATACTGGCTGTATTGAACAGAACGATGATTAGGTCGAGTTCCTAAACATGTATGATCTGGTCTTCCAAAGTAATGAAATCAACATTCTGGGATGGATCTGAATTAAGTAAAAGTTTTAGTCAGAACCTCCGTTGATCTTTGGTTTGATGATAAGTCTGAACTAACAGAAATATTGAGAATCTCCTCTACCTTCTTCATGACCAAAGCATTCTTCGTTGAAATTTTGAATTAACTTAAGCTTTTCTTTATTACAACACTAAACGAGCTCGTTGAGTGATACTAGTATTGATACTAGTATCAATAAAGCCGACACTATTCATAGTATTGAGCTCAAGTGCTATCTTATTGCGTGCCATACACGAAATGTGCATGAACACCCTGTTGGATTTATAAATAAACACATGGAAATCTAAAATGAACAAAACACCGTCGTAACATCAAACTAACTTGTAAGCTAGTTGGATACTAACTAAACAAGTCGATAACGCGGGTTTTGAATTGGTGAGTAAACGAATGCAAAATGGTGTAGCTAAACAAAATTCACAAACAATTCAAATTGGAAATTTAAGTACATATTTGCTTCATTATTAACGACAACGAAAAACATTTAAACTTATATGGGCTGCATGTATTTTGAAATGATGACTTTGTAGTCGATTTAACAATCTCCTGTTTTCGATCTCAAAATTGCCTTTGTAGCGGTAAATAAATTCCCAAAATAAATAGCTCTGTAAGTTTTCGACATTGGATGCTGACCACATGTTTTAGTGGACTCACCCAGCTGAAGGCGCTCGGTCATGCATCCGCACCAGATCACGTGTGGGAACGCCGTGCTCAACATCTACTGCAATCGCTAGCCAGATTAGAGCAGACAATTCCGATCTCCTCTGTTCTGTCTTTTGATTTCTCTTGGTGAGTACGCGTCATATTAGAAGGTGTTACTGGTAGAAGCGTTGTCAAACACTGAATACCTGTGTTATTTTCACCTTAATCTGAGGCTTGTCTAATTGCCTATTGTTGCTTATTGCTTTCGGAGGTAAATTTAGGTGGATTGTGTACACTCACGGGGTCATTCATTCTCCTTTCCCTCTGTTCTTCTCTTTTCTAACCTCTTCACACCACTCTGTATCCTCTTTTTATACACAAAGTACCCTTTGGATAGATGCGAACCGCTCCAGACTAACTTTTTATTCCATCGCTAAGAGAGCTTCCTTGTACTATAAAAATGAATCCCCTACCCTTTCAAGCAAAACGTAGATATATGAGACAAGCAGAAATACATATATTTGATCATTTATAACGAGTTGTTGTTCCGAATCCTTAAGACTATATCGGGTTTCCTCACAAAGGACTTCTGAGGAGTTCGGAATTCCAAGACTTAGTCACACACCTCTAAAATGCAACAATGTAGTTAAACTTCCATTGTTGTAAGACATACTCTATCACTCCTACTCTAACTTAGATTGTAGTAATTTATTACGTAAGTTTGGTATTATCTAAGTACATCTTGTCTCGATCTGAATGAGGGTCGTTCAATCGAAAGAGTGTAAAAAGCAAATTTATAAGATCTATCAGGATGGCCGTAATCTACTCGAGTTGCATGACAATGGTGTGACATCCTAGCTTGCATCCAAATGACACCTCTAGCTTAACACTTAACCTGGATTGTGCTGTTAGGATAATCAGGTGAATAGACTTCTTAACTAGCCGGTTCAAATACATACTCTCAGAAGACAACAGCATATATCACTTTTAACATAACAAACAAATATGAGGTGAAACCGCCGCCTTATGTGTCTATCCGTGACATCTAATATAATGATGTACGCTGGTTGTCTTTAAAATTGACGGGGATCAGTAAACTGCTCAATATTCAGTGCCTTACCGGTCGGATGATTTGGGTACGCTCCAGTGATATTTTACAGGCCCCATACGTTAATCGAATAAAAAACTATTCACCAAGCTTACACCTTGATATCGTTTGATGTTTAATTTTCAAAGACTATTGCAGAATCCATTAATATGTATAAATGAGCTTGTGTAAGAGAAACCCTCTACCAGTGGCTTCCATATCGCCACCTATTGATGACCCAATAATTTTATTGCTGTTCCTAGATTCTTTGTACTACTGTGTAATGGGTTCATTTTTTATATCCACAATACTGACTACTCCTGTATGACAAAATTGATTTCACCTATCATCAGAAAATAGCCTCATTTTTAACTTGTCACTATCATTGATTATAACGTAATTCGCAGGTTAGTTGGAGGGCATCGATAGGTAGTTACACACCAGAACGAACTGGCCGTCCAGTGCCTTCAGTTTTTCAGTGATTGTCTAACTTTGATCGGTTAAGGGTGTCTACAAATGCATGCGTTTTTCCTTGGGCTATGGGGCCGCTAAAACCATTAGCCATCCAATAAAAGTTGTAAAACCCATAAGATGTCAGTTAAAATCAGGCTAGAGAAGAATACGTTTTGAGTAGGACAAGTAAATGAATTGATTAACTGAATAAACATAATGACTGTGTAGATTATTACGCAAAACCGAGAAGTAAACGGAACTAATAAGAATCAAAGATAGATAAGATTAGTAATTAGATTCGGTTTCCAAAGTCTGCTGATATAGATGTAGATACACTTGGATGACTTATAGATGCGAATGACTGAAGCACAGGAAGTCGACCGAATATTCCTAATAATAATAATAATAACATATTCTCAAATAAATTTGTTACATGAGGCATGCCACTTTACAGGAGATACAGTCTTCACTGTATTGGGTTACTCAGTTAGGTTGATATTTGATAAAGTACATTAGTCATGGAATTATGGTGAATAAAACATCTCTCATATGAATGTAAATATTATTATTGAGACTCGTATTGTCAATATGACAGTTGGCGCGCTTTATGCAGATTGCTTTGGGACGTGCAACTAATGGTCGAGAATAAATCCACTTGAAACTGAGAGCTCTTAGAAACCGCAACGTTATACCCCTCTGAAACATTCGAGGTAATAATGGTGGCGCGGGACGAAGTCACTCGTTCCATATGTGTTTTCGGTGGCATATCTTGTGAGTGCTGAAAGAGAGATTAAGGAAAAGACGAGAAGCAAAGGAGATAGCATGTCAAATATTATGAAAATGTTTAGAAGTTTAAGTTTTCAGAGTTAGAAAACAAAATATCGGGCGATTAACAAGAATTTAGGGCATTAGGGGCTTCCTATGATTGGCCACAGTTGATCAGCATCCGTAAGATTAATGAGTAATCTGTCTAATTGTAATATAAAAAATGACACTTAGAAATAATAATCCTACTCTAACCATTAGAGAGATTCAGAATTTGAATATGAGAAGTAGGAGCATTAGGGTATGGTAATAATCAATAAATAGTGGAAGAAAGTAGCCATTTATTATATCACTTTCCATATTCATATTTATGACAATGAAGTCCGTTATATTAATGATCGTTCTAGATATTAGGCGGTCCATAATACAATACCTCATTGGTGACTGTGAGTTCACGGAATAGTTGATAAAGCTGATTAGAGTTTAGTACCAGGGTATTTTGAACTTATTGATTGTGTCACAGCTACAGATAATTATTCACAACCCGTTCGATAATAAACTAGACCACACCGTCAAATAATTACAACGCATCGGGTCTTGGTGTTTTACTGTAAGTAGTGTATATGCGTTGTTTCTGAGTTTGTAGACTGGGTAGCGGATCATGGTTGGGCAGGAGGTTAGAAATGAGAGTCCATACATTACTTTATAGAGAAACATTAGATTGTTCCCCAGTCGATGGTGCCGTAAACGTGCTAAGCAGAGGTGCTTAAAACTATCTGTGTAGACGAGAGTGGAGCCACATTCTAGCAGTTGGTGTGTGAAGTGTCTTTGGATATCTTTACTCGTATCTTGTCTGTGATATTCAGTGTTGAGAAGACAAAAGAGCAATATTCAAGGGAGGATTGTACAAATATCCTGTAAAGTGTATGCGTAGCCTCTGTTGTGAAGAAACTTTTCATTATGAAACCAATTAGCCGTCTAGATTTAGAAACAATAAAGGAGGAACGTTCTTCTAATTTTAGGCTTTCCGTGTGATTAATACATAGGTCGTGCACGGATTTGAGTGTATGAAGTCTAGTTTCATTCAAGTAAAGTTGTGGTTCATAGGGATGTTTTCCAGAATGCATGATCCCACACTTATTGTGGTTAAATGGTAATTGCCGTTTTTCGCTCCAGATGCTTGGGTTGTTGAGATCACTTTGAATCTGTGATACATTTTCATTTGGAGCTTCAGGCTTAAAACTGTATACTATTTTGAGATAATCAGCGTATAAGTATAGTCTCCCAAATTTTATGGTGTTACATATATCGTTTATGTACATACGAAACAAGAATGGATCTAATACACTTCCCTGGATGACTCCACTAGTTATTGGTCTAGGTGATGAGAGACAGAGTTATTGCACCTTAACATTTGTTTACTCCCTGTTAAGAATGAAGCAAACCATCAATATAGTCTGTTGTTGGTTCCGAATGACTTTAATTTGATGAGACGCCTTTCGTGTTGGACCTTATCAGAAGCTTTCTTGAAGTTTAAGAATAAAACTGATACAACGAGTCCGTTGTTTCATTTCAGAGTTATATTATTCAGATAGTCTACTAGGCATGTATCACACGATCTGGACCTAAGAAACCCATACTAGGAGGCCGAGATAATGTTATTAGTAGGTTAATAATGAACTATCGCCGCCTTTATCACTTTTTCCATCACTCTAGATACCATTGAGGTTATGATTATGGGCCGGCAATTTTCAGGTGCTGTCTTAATTTTGGAATGATATATGTAGTTTTCCAAACAGTAAGGTAACACACTGTAGAGAGTGATATCGCAAATAGCTCGAGAAGTGAAACACACAGATCATCACCCCACTTTATAGCATGCTAGCCGGAATACTATCTGATCCGTCAGTGTACAAGTGCTTTAGTGTGCTAATCGCTTTAAAAATATTCCGTACATTGAAGTCTACAATGGTAACTCCACAGGAAGGCACTGGGATTCGTTCTGATTCATTCGGTGATTTTTTATCGGTCGATGAAAGACAAAAGTATTCAATAAACAGCTCAGTAACATGCTTAGGACCCCAATATTGTATACAGTAAAGAAGGTTCCTCAATCAGTAATTTTTAAGTAGTTTTGGAAGCTTTACCAATCGACCTCGCGATAGTTTCTACGAAGTGTTACAGTTTTACGCCTACCCGTTGTGATTTTTAGATTAAAGCTACATATAACAATGTTGTGTTCGCTACCTGGAAACGTTTTTCCGATATACACAGTTTTGGGGGTGAGGCAACTGGTAAAGACCAAGTACATTATATTTTGACGTCTAGTAGGGCTGCTGACGTACTGAGCCCGCTGTGTAAGCTCTAGATATTCAATAAATGATTTCTGCGCCTTGACTGGAATACAAGAAATTTCGGATATGTTGAATTCACCACGAATAAATTTACCTGTGAATGGAAGAGATGATGCTAGTGTGAATACCTCTGATAAAATTGCTATTTCAC